CCACTCCATCATGAAAAAATGGGTGAAAGAGCCATTCGACATGCAATTGGTATGAGGTATTGATGGCACAGCATTTGAAGAAATACAAAACATCAGTGACTTGCTGAGCACCTCGTAAAATATCATCAGATTTGGTGCCAGAAGACCTCATTGGACTGTGTTTAGGGAAACTCTGTACTCAGCGTGACTAGCATTGAATGTTTAAAGTAAAAGTGCCCTGTTGCTCACCAGATAATATGACAATAGACATTAAGAATGCAGCAAAACACTAGGATTACATGCTATAGTTGAAATCAATAGACACCAGAAAAACAGGTAGATAGGGTTAAACTTTTAACTAATAGATATCACAGTGGAACTTCTCAAGTTGATTGCTTTCCATTGCAATACTTTCCATACATTCCTGGAGCAAAAATCTCACCAATGGATAAAGCCAGGTTCAAAGTTCTCTTCCATTTTGTTGACATAAAAGGCTCGGAGGTTTTAACAGAGAGATTTTTGGATTTCTCATGTTATCACTCCAAAAATCAGAAAATACTGTCAACAGCCATAAAAAAACTCAATTTTCACCATGTTTTTAGAGATAAAATGTTATACACACGAGGCTATGAATGATAAATGAACAAATCCCTCTGTGAGAACCTTCAGAATATAGATAGAAATAAAACTGTAAAGTTTGGTGTATGTAAGTGCTACTGAAGGGGAGATTTCTGGCTCAGAGTATAAGAATAAACTCACTGTAACAAGATGGCCTTGAAAGATATCAATTATGGAATTCAATACATTTTTAGACAAAAAATAGGGTACTACAGGTGAGAAGGGTAAAAATATCAACTAATAGGTACACTGTAAAAAAAAAAATTCTAATTTTACGGTAAATAACTTCAAACTTTTACAGTAGTTTTCTGTTTTTTAAAAATAGTATACAAAACTGTAAAATTACAGACATTATCTGTAAATTAACAACCCACCTGTTTTTTAAAAGTATCTTGCCAGTAATGACAAACTATGTTTATTTCTCATTTTTTTACAGAAAAATTACTGTATTAATTATACATCATCTTTCTGCTTTCTTAAATTACAGTCAAAATAGCACATTATATTAAGGTTTATTTCTATACTAACAATCTAAAGTTTTTCTCTGTAAATTAACGGTAAATCTTATTTTTTTTTATATGCATATGTACTTTTACATTCAATCTCTGTACTTAAACATGTAGCTCGTTATATTACAGTTTTTTTCTATACTAACAATCTAATGTTTTTCTCTGTAATTTAACGGTAAATCTTATTAGTTTTACATTTATATGTACTTTTACATTCAATCTCTGTAATTAAACATGTAGCTCATTATATTAAGGTTTATTTCCATACTAACAATCTAATGTTTTTCTCTGTAAATTAACGGTAAATCTTAGTTTTATATTTATATGTACTTTTACATTCAATCTCTGTAATTAAACATGTAGCTCGTTATATTAAGGTTTATTTCCGTACTAACAATCTAATGTTTTTCTCTGTAAATTAACAGTAAATCTTAGTTTTATATTTATATGTACTTTTACATTCAATGTCTGTAATTAAACATGTAGCTCGTTATATTAAGGTTTATTTCCGTACTAACAATCTAATGTTTTTCTCTGTAAATTAACAGTAAATCTTAGTTTTATATTTATATGTACTTTTACATTCAATGTCTGTAATTAAACATGTAGGTCATTATATTAAGGTTTATTTCCATACTAACAATCTAATGTTTTTCTCTGTAAATTAACAGTAAATCTTAGTTTTATATTTATATGTACTTTTACATTCAATTTCTGTAATTAAACATGTAGCTCGTTATATATAGGTTTATGTCCACACTAATAATCTTATGTTTTGCTCTGTAATTTTAAGGAAAATTTCATTAGTTTTATATTTATGTGTACTCTGTAATTCCGGATACAAAATTTTACATCAAACATGATGTAAATAACGGTAGAGTATGCAGGATTTTCAAAATAAAACATATAGACTTATACAAATATAATTCCTCTCAATCATCACTTATGACCCAATAGAAGAGTGTGGTGGTCTGTTTATCTGCATTTTCTCATTGTTTGGTGTGTGGCTGGGCTCCTTCTGGGCGGCGCCCTTTGGGCAGGATGTGTGTTTTTGTGTTTTGGAAAGCTCTTGATCTACTTCCATCTCTACTATCATAACCGAGGGCAAACCAATAAGGGGCGCCACCAAGTAGGATCAAAAACAGGAGAAAACATGATTTCACCCTGTTATCATTAAAAAAAATAAAATCTGACCAAACAGGTGTACTTCCCACCCCAAAAAACCTACAATAGGCTTGTAATGTTCCTTGTCACAATTTCACATAATAGAGAAAACACACCAAAACTACAAATATAGGGCGCAGCACACTACTGTGTATTTCAACTCCAGTCAAATTGTAGTTCTTGTGTCGTTCTTCCGGGTTAGCCACACCTCCTCTTAGGGCACCTTTGTGACCTGAAAGTCAGCGGTGGCCTGGTCCTCCTCATCAGGGAATATTCGAGAGACCGACCCCAACGAGTCTGCATTAAGAACTGCCTCTCTGACTCTCTTGTCCTGAACACGGGTGTTCCCCAAGGATGTGTACTATCCCCTTTGCTTTTTTCCATATACACAAATGAAATACAGTGCAACAGCAGTGACCTCTCCCTCATTAAGTATGCAGATAACATGGCCTTGGTCGCCTGCCTTCAGGACTTAAACAGCTCTCCCTACCTGCAGTATATCAACACCCTGGCTACATGGTTTGACAGCAGCTTCCTGGATCTCAGTATCAAAGTTGGCTAAATGCGACGCTTGGGCAGTGACTTCCAGCACCAGACACCCATGAAAAAAGCCGTCCTTTCACATCGGCAAGACACACAGCCAGTTGCCATTATAGATTAACGGCACCCGGCAGCATCAAGGGGAAACGTGGCGGGACAAGAATGAAAATTAAGACAGCAAAAGTCTAATGGCAGCGGAGCCAACAGGATTCAATTCTAGTCAATGTGTGTGTTTCCACCGGCTGCGGCTGTCCTGCATTCCGGCTCCGTCTCAGCTCCGGCACTCCGGAGCCCTCCGCAACAGATACGCAGGACTTCTATTTTTGCTGGACGCTGGAGCACAATGCAGCAATTTAGCACAGAGCAGATCGTGCGGGGCAGGAAGTCGTGCACAGAAACAAAATAAAACATCCGGTTAACTTTCAAAATAAAATACACAGTGTTCACGGCAGATCATATTTCCCTGCGCTACACCTTGAAAACTACTTAATGGGCAGATGCAGGCCTGAAGTCAACAGGTCAGAGGTTTTCAGACGTCATTTCACCCCGTTGACACCATGGACGAGGAGATATTAATCATGGCAGTGCACCGAGATGTCTTCCGGCAGAGCTGCACCGCTCCGCACAGCAAACGCAGCCGGTGGGTATTGACGGACGGCGGAGCACGCAGCGGATAACCAGTGCTGCCGTTCCGCAACGGACACGCATCCAGTGGAAATCCGGCATAAGGGTGGTTTGGAGGGTTGGTGGATGCTTCCAACAACAACCGAATTTCACCTGTTAGGGCGGTGTTTGCTTCCCATAGAACTGTAAAGCCAAACCCTGTTCTTTATTCCTGAACCCAACCATGTGCTTTTGTTGCCTAAACCCAACCACGTTTGTGTGTTGGCAAAACGTAATCACGTGCGTTTCTTGTTGAAGGAAAAAAACGTCAATTTGCGGTGTTCTATTGATGTAGTGCATTTATTTTGAAAGAGACTGTATGTAAATGGTACATTTCCTGTGAAAACAGAAGTGTATTTTGAAAACAGACAATGCACCTAACAGGCAGAACTTGACACGGGTCCCAGAACATTAACAACCAATGCATCCAGGGTACCTTGCAGGTTGTATCTGGACGTGGAAAGTCCATGACCAAACGTTGATATGTGACAGGGTCAGAGTGAGAATGTGTTGGCCAAAACTCTAGATCTGAAAAAGGTTTGTGAGGTGGGGGGTAACTTCACCTGATTCCTCAATAGCTTCCACTTTAGTCTGGTATGGTGATACCAGCATTATTACACAGGAGAGGAAAAATGCACCTGTAATGGCAGTGAGTAGTAGACTGACTGAATGTGGAAACACTGAGACATAGTGTTGAAATTGCACTTATTATTCTTTAGACATCTCAGGCTGCTCATCATCTGTTTTGTAATAGGATAATTTCAGAAGTACTTCTTAACACTAAAAGAGAGGGAAATGTTTGAAAGTGTTGTTATTTATAGGTTATCATGTAGTGGTTTTACAGGTCCGGCCCACTTGAAATGAATTGGGCTGTATGTGGCCCATGAACCAAAATGAGTGTGACACCCCTGTACTAAATAAAAAAGTAATTCTTTCCACCAGTTTCCTGTACCTGCTTGTCCTGTGCAGGGTTAACAGAGGCCAAAGCCTATAACACTTTACAGTGGGTGAATGGTGAGGTAGCACAGCAGCTGTGGTTCACCTAGATTTATGTCAGTTACTCTGTACTACCATGCTGACCATTTTTCTAATAGGAAAACATAACTAATGAAACGCTCATGGAAACTTTTCAAACAGTTCCTGCAACACAATCCTGCTGTCCACCTGAATGCCAAGTATGCTTCAAACACTCATAGTTTCACCAAAGTATACTTAAACACACCGCTTTGTTTGTAGCCTGGTTCCAAGGCAGCTACAAACAAGATGTAAGTGAGATTCATGTCTTCAAATTGACCGCAGCCGTGTTCTATGTGAAAGAGGAAGCCGCAGACTTCTAACACATTTTAAGTCTATTGATAAGGGAGCATTAGAAACTAAAAAGGACACCTTTATGGTGGAACATCACTTAATGCATGTTAACACAAATCTTTAAAAAAGTGACACTTGCTGGCAAATGAGGCACCATGGCACAATTCCATATGACAGTTTTGCATTAGTGAGCAATGAATGAATGAATGAGTGACTTACAAGTCTTGTCAGTCTCGTCTGAGTCGTCGGGGCAGTCAGGCTCGCCATCACAGAGCCAGGCTTCGGGGATGCAGGTTTCCTGGTCGTGACAGTGAAACTCCCCTACGTCGCACAAGATGGCTTCTGGGTGGCATGAAGAGAGGGTGGGAAGAGAGACAGAAAAGATGCAGCATGAGGTGATGGTAGTGAACAGGTGGATCACATGTTTCGCCAAAAACATGTGCACTTGAACATGAGTGTGAGTGGAGAGAAGTGGCTTTTCTTGATTTTCTTTAGAGGCAGATGCAGTAAATGGATGTGAGAGGCACTGACGTCAGAAAAAATATCATTATTGTATCATCAATGGAAAGCATGAAGCTGAATGAAACGTTAAAGCCAATGTTTTTAAAGATGCTGCAGCTCTATAGTGGATGTACATTGGTTGACAATCAATATAGCGCTGTGTGTCCTTTTGACAGTGGCATGTCTTTGCAAACCACCGTTCTTTGTCAGAACAGGAAGCCATGCATTTTTTCCCACAAGATTAAAAATGCTACCAAAAGAGGCAGACAGATGCTGCCCAGGCATTGTGATTTTGACAGCTACTCTCCTCTAACAAAGACATGATGTCCTTCGCGCCTTGGCAAACTATTACAAAGCAGTTTGGCAAGTTTGTTCTTATCTTTTTTGCCTCCTTGGTGTTGTGCCTTCATTTGATGGTGAGACTGGGGGAGTTCAGTGAAAGCCCAGTCAACTAAAAAGTCATCATAGCCTTTCAATATAGCAAGCATCTGTCAAAGTGTTGACATGTTTCCTGCCGGTAGCTGTCAGAGACTCGGCTCAATCAATCTGCAAAATGACACCGGCTTTTGCTAAAGATTTGACACCACGTTGTGACCCACTGCTACCTCTCCTTGGCGCTGAGGCGAAAACAGTAATTTGTTTCTAAGCTTAACCCACAGACAATCAGACAGAGCCTAACTCCCCCTCCCACTCACTCTCTATCTCCATCTTTTTTTTTCCCAGTGTGTTCCTAACCCATTAGTGGTGGGAGTGGAGCAAGTGGGAGATCAGGTCTGCAGCATTTGAACAGTGAGAGTGATAATTCAACGCACCGCTGCTCCCTGCCCCGGCACCCTCCAGCAAATTCACTACCCAGGGACAAATCTGAAAAGGTCAAACATCTCATCCATTCTGCCTCTCCTATTCCCTCTGATGCAATATATCTGAAATCTTACAATTTAAATCAAGGTCTCTTTTGAAATATTCAAAGGCTTCACTTTTTTCAGGTTTTAAAAGGGGACATTCTTAAAAATTGCACACCAAAGCCATCGACCCTTTAAAGAAAAAATAATTAAAATGCATGTAATGTTGAGAAGTGAAAGGGGTATCTCAAGGTAGCCTCATACGTGAGGAAGAGGCTCATTATTTTGCCTCTAAACAGTGGAACACTACCAACATGAAAAATGGATCTTGCCAAATATTTCTCAAAACACTGTTCGCTTCATAATAACACAGACTATTTTTTATGCAAAGCCAAGATACTTGGCTGCAGTCAAATGTGCTTCTTTAAACCGCCATCAAGCAACAGAATATAGTGATCCTCAGCAAAACATGCTGTCAACCTCGATGCATACTGATTATCACTGCAATAAATATTAATGCAACACCAGCCTTTAGTACTATGATGAACTGTGCATGATTTGACAGTTAAGTGGTAAAAAAAAAACAATTAGGGTCACACAATTTTGTGACATTAATTACTACCAAGAATTATTTTACATTTAACTCTATGTCAAAAACAGGAAGTTCAGTGCAAACACTAGCCCTTTAAAAACACAGCGCCCATAGAATGTAATCGCACAGCTGAATATGTTGACTACATTATTTACATTTCTCTTCAAAAAATAGCAAAGCATCAATAAACACACGCTGGGCCCGGGGTTGGCAGAAGCATGCTTGGCTTGCTGAGGTCTCTGAAGGGATATCTCCAAGCTTTTAAAGCTGAATTGATTGCCATTGAAAAGCAGGAGGTCGGTGGCAGAAGGACCATTTCCTCAGCTTGTGATGGAAGCCATGAAAGAAACTGCCCCTGGACCTCGGAGCAGCCAAGTTACCTATTGATGTTCTGCTTCCTTTCATGCCACTTCACCTTAAAAGCTAAAGGGCCAAATATGAGGCAACCAAATGACCTCTTATGTCAATTCATCTTTCCCTTCTGCTTCTCCAAACAGCCTCTCCTTGACACGGGCTGCACTGTCGCTGCAGCTGGAGGGAGACAATAATGGGACAAACACATGACTGAGGGAAAGTAACCGCTCCGATGTTCTTTTGTTCCTCTTCTATATAGCGCTGTATTTGCATGAGAAAGATACATGAAGGTGTTGTTCTACACAGCATTATGTATTTTTCAGATAATTCTATACAAACATAAAATGAGAGGCGAATAGCAAGTCGGAGAAAAAAAAGGGCAGCAAGCACATGAGTGGATAGGAAAAACACCCAAACTGGTTCCATTACCATAACAGTGGGAAACACACAGTGGCACTCAGCCGGGCACATTATCATGAGCTTCATTGCTGACACCAAACAGTCACCACTGGCACAACACTGTGCCTCATTAAAGCCATTGAGTCTTTGAAATGTGCCAGATTTTCAGCGGAACAAAGAGTTATTAGGAGGCAGGCAAACAGGGAAGACGCTTTGCAAACCTGCTGAGGGAGGACCAGCCAGCACTCCTTGCAGAATATATTTTGATCAAGTTTGTTTTGCTTGAGATGAGGTATAAATTCTGGAGCACTGACCCAATTACTGAACGCGTCCGGTATACTGCAACATGAGCACTTAGACAACGCAACAAATCTCTTCATCCTGCATTTTGCAATATCGCACCCACTCCCCTATTTGCTCAGTCCCATTAAACTCTGAATTACATGAGAGCGTAGGTCTTCATTTATCTTTCTAAACAATATTATATTCCAATGAGGTAAGCTACAAACCACTAAGGCATTACAATCCCCTGAATTGCATCAGACACACAGTTCACAATATGGTACAGTGGATAAGTCGTAAGCCACAGGCCTATTCAAACAAAACCTGTGTTATAAAAGCAGCAGTGTGGTGCACAGCTCAGAGTGGTGAATTAAATGTTAGCTAGGTTGTACAGCTGAAAAAAGCAGATCTGAGAATACTCCCTAGTCTGGCCTATCTTACAGCTGCAGGTTGAGGAGGAGCAGCTTCTTGAAGAAGCTATTTGCAGCTCATCCAACTTGTCAGGGCACTGATAGTCCAATGCACCTATGATGCATTCAGGGGGCTCAAGGTTACCCAACAACCAGTTTGAGAGAAAAGAGAAAATAGTAGTTGAATATATCTGAAAACCACATAATAATGTGCATAAACACAGCATAAAGAAACACATAATGACACACACAAAAGCAACATAAAGGGGAAAATGACCTAAAAACAATTGTAGTCCAGCAACGCTAAGGTTTGAGACAAAAATCTGTAATGCCTTGGTTTTGGAATCAGAATGAAAGAGTAAAGACCTCTCTCACATGGAAAATGAAAACTGCATTTTATCAAATAAATATTGGTTGACAAATAAAAGCTGGTTCTTGTTGTTGTTGATTATTGGTCAATGACATTTCTCAACATTATGAGCTGATAAAGACTTCCTACATACAAGTGGGATCCTGAATCTATGTATTAAAATGAATATTTTCTCTTTATTAATGTGAACATGATGACTGGTAACGCATTGAGGAGAAGTTTTAAGGAGTGGGCAGCTGTAGCTATCCAACGTGCATGTACTAAAACAGGGAGTCACAAAGAAAATGACACCATATATTTTTTTAAGGTATCTAAACTTGAAAGGTTTGATACGTTTACATTTATCAACTTGAAGGACCCGATTATGTAAATCGATCTGACTATAACTAAGAAATACAAGATTTATTTATGCAACGCACCGAGACACATTTTGTTTTGAGTAAGCAGTGCTTTATTTTTCCACTCCCGTTAAGCTCCCTACCTACAGTAAGTGTAAGTAAGTGTGTAAATCCAAAAGTTGCATGCGGCAAGTTTACCCTCATTCTTTGAGGTCTTCTTTAAAAGGTATTTTGAAAAACCTGTGAAATGCCTATCTGAAGTGGATGTAGACAGACGGGATGGGTGGAGAGAAAGTGGGTGCTCCAAAAACAGTAAATCAAAATGCTTCAATCAAAAGGAAATAACTCGGTGCAAGCACCGAAGTCATACTGATGATATATAACAGTCTGAGCGTATGAGGGTGGAATATTTTGCTCAAAGTTACATGGATTGTGTAACATAAATCAAACGTACAGGTTAAAATACATCACATATAAATGTTTCACAAGTTATTGAGGACAAGTGTACTGGGGCACAAAAATTCAAATATACTTGGAGAGTTTCTGTCTGCAAGTGCACACACACTAACACACACATACACACACACACACACACACACACACTAGAATCCCACCTCCTTCCATGTACATGCACATAGATTAGCGATTTTAAACCCTCTCACACTGTCAGAGCAGACTTAGTGTCCTGGCCAGCTGCAGGTCATATGCATTATGGATGAGCATAGGGCTATGAGCCAAACTAAGCAGGTTATTAAGTATAACAACAGTATAATGCGGTCTCTCCCTTAATCTTCATATCTTTAATCTGCCACAAGATGCAATGTACAGCGATGCATCCCAATGACGCCTCGCACCTGCATAATGAATCTTTATTACACCCGTATCTCTAGAAGTGACATGTGCCATGTGGTATTTAGACTTAAATGCCATCCACGTCAAGTCTGATCAGAATATGAAGACTAGAGAGAGAACCGTGACTCTGCTGACTGATGAACGATTTGAGAATGTCACAGCACTTCTGGACGCATGCCCACAGTTATATGTACATGCCAGATCTGCAGCACTCTAACATCTCCTCCCCTTAGATCTTTGAAAGTTCTTAGAAATCACTAAGCCAACGCGAGATAGTGAGCTGTTATTTAAAAAAGAAAAAAAAAGGAGCAAAAAAATAATGATGTACTAAGAGAGAGAAGTAATTGTGTTTACAGAATCCGAGGTAAAACTGACTCTGGGAAACACCAGCTCATACCCGGG